AATAATAATAATAATAATAATAATAATAATAATAATAATAATAATAATAATAATAATAATAACTAGAATGCACAATTAAAATTTGTACACTATATCTAATATTAATAGATTTTATGTATGGTGATTATTTTTTAATGTTGAAGAATTAAACTAACATGTTGACTATAAATCCATTTTAATGCGGGTTTATCCATATTTTATTTAATCATGAAGCTATATGGATTATTTCATGTTAGATCCAGTATACTCAACCAACATATTCAACACCAATTCCCATTATATATTGACCTGTTTTGGGGGGAAAAAGAAATTGCGAGAAAATAAGAAATAGAGAAAAATCAGAAAATAGAGGATATATATATATATATTATAGTTCTTCTTATTTGGCAGAGTGAAAATGGAAAAGGAGAGAAATAAAAAAAAAAAAAACTTAATTATAATTTTAGTTCATTTATTTTTGTTGATTTTTAATTTTTAGTTCTCTATTTTAAAATAGAGATATTTAATTTTTTTAATTTTAAAATTATAAAATTTTGATTCTTCTATTAAATTGACGTGTATTAATTATTAAATTGTAATATTTACTCATATCGTTTAGTAATATTTTGAAAATAGAAAATAAACTAAAATAAAAATATATAAATAAAATTTATTTATAAAATAAATATCAATTACTCATTAAAATGTATACAATCAATCATTTTATATATATATATATATATATTTTTTAATTTTATTTATACATATCACATAGTTAAATATTATTTTATTGAATAATATTAAATTTTAATAATTAAAAAATATTAAATTTAATTAACAATAAGATTAAAAAATTTATTTTTAAAAACAGGGGACTAAACATCTCTATTTTAAAATAAAATGACCAAAATTACACATTAATAAAAATAGAAAGATCAAATGTGTAATTTAGTCCTATAAAAAAAGAGTAAATTTTACTCTTTTTTTAATTTTTATTTTCACTCTCAATTTAGTGAAATGAATAATAACAAGGCTCTCCATAGTTTGTGGCAGTTTTTTTTTATGGAGATTAGACAATGTAAGTAACATATGTTTTTTCCTTTCACTTTTAAAATACGAAAAATATAACATCATTTTAAGAATTGTTAGTGTTGTTTTTATTTGAAACTAGTTTTATAGTTATATTTTAATAAAGTACGATTTTGAAGAAAAAATTATTTGTTTTAAATTTAGAAAAAATTATAAACTTGAATAATCCTTTTTAGTAAAGTCGAAAAATAGTGTGTCGTTATCTTTTACTATTTTCCTTATTAACATAAAAAAATTAATTAGAGTTTTATCTGCTTGCTATTATTTTAATTAATAATTTTTCTTAGTTGCATAGCAATTATATTTTAACTCTTCTAAAATAATTAAAGAACTTACAATTAATTAGATTTTGAAAAAAAAAATCATGGATTTAGATAAGTTACAAATGTGTGTGAGTTTAAATAAAAATTGTAAGCTTGAATGCTAAAAGGGTTTTTTATTAAAATATAGGAATTATGTTTGGTGTATTAAAATATTTAATCGAGAATTAAATGAATTAGTTAGATGACTATTAGATTAAGTCAATTAAGTGAGTGAACAGCCTTAAATTAATAAGAGATAGTTTTAGCTTAGTGGACTTAGTTGTACGTTGAGTGAAGCCCAAATACGTGTGTGTTTTTTATTTTCTTTATTGAGAACCTGGTGAAGCCCAAATGGCCAAACATTTAGACGTTTTTTTTTATTTCTCCCTACCTGTCGGACTGGATGGTCTGTTGGCAGTCCAACCCATTTCCTACTACCCAAAGTCACTACCTATTTAGCATTATTTATTTATTTATTTTCTCTTCGGCTGTGCCTTCTACAGTTCTACCTACTGATCCATCGCTCATAACCTTAAACACAAACATATTATATATTATATTTGAAGATGATAATGTCTAAAAGAGTAAAAGAGAGAGCATAAGAGTTTTAGTGTCTTTGGTCATCACTAATTGTCAAATTAAGAGTTTTAATTAGTAATTGAATCGAGATCTATGTCGATTTTTTATGGAAAGTGTCTTTTCAAATTAAGAACTAATATAAAACTTAAAAATATGTGCTTGAGTCAATTTATTTTTGACTAACTGATGAAGAAAACTTATAAAATTGGTTTTGAAAAAAAATGATTTTTCCTTTAAAAAAAAAAAGTAATTCCAAACATGCATTAAACAAGGTTAATGTGTGAGCGTGACACTGACTATAAATATGACCAGTGGCCGTAAGAAAAGAGTAAAATATATGGGCCTTAGCCCTTAAGCTTGATGCTGATGATAAATACACCTCCATTTTTTTATACATACACCCCCTTTTTTAAAAAAAATAATAAATTTTTAAATTATCCTTAATATTATTTGAAATAAAAAAAAATTATCCTGGAAAATTTTTTTCGGAGGTGTATTATTTGTACATAATTATGGAAAGTTATTTCCGGAATACTAAAATTACTATTCTGGAAATAACTTTCCGTCGGAATAATTCTGGAAAATACTTTCCGTAACACTAAAATTACTATTGCGGAAAGTTCTTTCCGGAATTATGGTAACAAATACATACACTATTAATATTCTGGAAAGAATTTTTTGCAATAGTAATTCTAGTGTTACGTAAAGTATTTTCCATAATTATTTTGACGGAAAGTTATTTCCGGAATAGTAATTTTAGTATTTTAGAAAGTACTTTCTGTAATTATTCTGACGGAAAGTTCTTTTCGGAAGGCTCATGATATATACACCTCCTGTTTTTTTTTATAAGTACACCTTCTTTATTTTTTTTTAAAAAATTATAAAATATTATATATATATTTTTTAATTTTATATCTTTAACTTTCAATTTTCTACTTTTTTTTTTCAGACACTTTTTTTTTCTTTCAATTTTTATATGCTACCAAAATAGGTGGGATGAAGGAAAGATAACGGGGTGCATGTAAAAATTGAAAAAATATAAAAAGAAGAAAAAAGATAGATCTGTAAAAAAAAAGTACTAAATTAAATATTGTGAATGTAAAATTAAAAAAAAGCAAAAAATTAAGAATATTTTAAAATTTTAATTATTTTTTTTTAAAAAGAAGGTGTATTTATAGGAAAAAGGAGATGTATATATCATCAATCTTTAAAAAACACTTTTTAGAATAATTTTTTTTATATTTCAAATAATATTAAGGATAATTTAAGAATTTAATATTTTTTTTAAAAAAGGGTGTATGTATAAAAAGATGGAGGTGTATATATCATCAACCTAAGCTTCAACGTCTTTGTTTGGGTCATGGCCCAATACTTGTGGATAGATTCATTAAAGTGTAGAGCATAAAATCATCTGAAATCAGGGTTTTTGATTATCTTGTGCGGCTGTGCGGTGTTCCTACTTCCTCTGTTTTCCTATCTTTTTGCAGCGCCTTTCCTTCTCGAGTCATGTCTCATGGCTGAATTATTTCTTGCTAGTTTTTCTTTTTCATTTTTTTTTAATTTAACATTTGGAATTTCGTTTCTGCGAATGTTGATTTTTATAATATTTTTCTGTTTTTTTTTCCTTCAACTTTATAAAAACCAAGGGCTGTGATGACCGATAAAATTTCTCGATTCTGACAATGACCAAAGCAAGTTGTTTGCTCTGTGACTGATGACAGTGTTTGTGCGTGTCTGAGCCTACCATTTCCTTTCAAGTTAAATTTAATTGTTAAAACCCAGAACAATTCTCAAACAAACAAAAGATGCCTCATACACTTTTCTCTCTTTAAATGTTTCATATAAATGATTCCACTACACTTGGCTCTTGATTTATTTTTCCGATTTTTCATCAGTAATGCACTGTAAGCTGATATTTATGGTTACAGGATACGGTGCAGATTTTAGTGTAAACAAACTTGAGATTCCCATTTTGGTTTTAATGCGTGTATTGAGAACAAATGATCATGGCCTCCGAAAAGCACACAGTTTCTTTTTCGCACTATCTTTGAAGTTTACAGACTTGATTTTTTTTTAATGATTTAGGGGTGTTAGGACTTAAGATTTTCTCGATACACCTCTTTATGCAAATTTTCTTAATATATTCTTTCATGTCTATAATACATGTATTAATGATGTATGACTCATTTAAAGTGAATTTAAATAGATTAAGCCTAGCTCAATCCTATAAAATTAATTTATAAAATATAGGTTACTTTTTATTTATATACTATGAACTTAAATTTTTCCCGATACACTTCGAATTGCACCTCAATAATTATTTACTTTATTGTTCAAGTAAATGCAAACAAGAGTTCTCCCTCTTCCACTTGTACACAATCATGGCTACCCATGTCACGTTGGGACAATTTAGATCTTGTGAGATATCATAATGCATCACTTTGTTCCGTAACCCATTCACCCCCCCGATTTGACCTGATCATTATATTTTGTAGGACAGCACACCGCTCACCTTAATTACATGCATGAACATCCTGGAATCTACTCTAGAATGACGAGGACATCAATAAGATCTTGAACGCAATCGTGATAGGTTTTACCAGTTTTCTCAAGGCAAAATTATTTTTGAATTTTCTAAAACCCTGAAAATAGAAGTTCAATGAGCAATATATCAAATTGATATATAACCCGTGGAAAATCATTGTGCTTGTTTGGATTCTTACCGGGGATCCGAATTTTTTATCAAATTCAGGTGTCAAAATGTACGGTGTTTACATGAGAATCCAAACACACCTAATTAACAAAATCTAAATTTAACGGTGTAATCAATTTTAAATCTTACTTAAATCTGACAAAATTATTCTTGGTAATTAATTTATCCTTTTTTATTAACATTTTTCCTTCTTTGTTTACTCTTCTCTTTCTTCACATATCAAAAAAGGAAAAACAGAGCAAAGTATCAAATTTTCTCACAAACATGAATGCATAATTTCGTTGTAACATTACAAAGTTAGAATAATAGTAAATCCAATTAACTATAATAATTGATTCTACGGTTGGGTCCTGGTTAAATTTTTTTATTCTCTTCGTCAAAATGGATTTTTCAACTCAATTGTTTTATAATTCTTTTCATGTTGAAATATATATTGCATTCACAATATCTAGTCTTCAAATTCTACAACTACATTGTTGAATTATACTTGAATATTCATGGTTTTCTTGGGTAAAATTTAAGAAATAAAATCATAAACAGATTTTTCTACAATAATTAAGTAATTATTTGAGCATATATATGGAGTTCATTATTGATTTAATTTTGTAATGCAACAATGAAACCACACATTTATGTTTGTGAGAAACTTTGATTACTTTGCTCTAATTTTCCTTTTTGATATGTGAAGAACGAGAAACATAAACGAAGAAGGAAAAATGTAAAAGAAAAAGGATAAATTAATTACTATAAGTAATATATGTCAATTAAGAAAAATTATTGTAAATAAAGAGGAGACTAATAAATTTTATCAAATTTTAGTAATATTTAAAATTGATGTTACAATGTTAGATTAAAAGATAATAAAAAGTTGAGATGTAGAGTAACTTTATAGAATTACTTTTAGAGAAAGAAGAAGGAAAAATAAAAAAAAATGATAAATTAATTACTATAAATAATCTATGTCAATTAAGAAAAAATATTGTAAATAAAGAGGAAACTAATAAATTTTTATCAAATTTGAGTAATATTTAAAATTGATGTTACAATGTTAGATTAAAAGAGAATAAAAGGTTGAGATGTAGAGTAACTTTATAGAATTACTCTTAGAGTTATTTGATCCTCTCCCCCCACCCCTCTCTCTCTCTATATATATATATACACACTCACACACACACACACACACACATATATATATATATATATATATTGTTGAGATGCAAACAAAGTATCAAATTAAACAAAATATCAAATAATTTTTAAATTTTAAAAAATTTAAGATAAACTTATTTTTAATCCCTCAAATTTAAAACTAGTAGCTTTAGCCCTTGTAATTTTAAAAAATTTTACTTCACTTCTAATACTCAAAATTTGTTAAAGAATTTGTCAAATATTATTACATAAAATCTATCTACCAATGTCTTTGTTAGTAAAACCATCATATTAAACTTAATTAATACGGTATAATTGTCTCAATCTATCATTTTTAAATATGTTATTAATGAACTAAGAGGCTAAAATAATATTTTTAAAAAATATAGAATTAAAAATAAAAATTTTTAATTTGAGGGACTAAAAATAAATTTATCTTAAATTTAAAAAATTAAAACATATTTAACCAAACTTATAATATAATTTTTAATTTATATTTATAAATTCTTTTTTATATGTTATTTATATTATAATATAATTATTAACTAATAATTTAATTTATTTAAAATGTATAAGTAAATTAAATTTTTTAAAAAATATTATGGATCTTTGTGAGTTTATTTGAACTCGACAACACCTAGTGGAGATAGGGATGAGTTTTAAAAATATAAACTCATATATTTAAAATGGTAAAAATATACATTTTGTCCTTTATATTATTTATTAAATTTAATTTAGTCTCATTTTAATTAATTGAATCAATTTAGTCTCACATCTTTAAAATGTATTTCAATGTTTAATTTTTCGTTTAAATACTTAATGGATATGATACGTGTCATGCTGTCATGCCACATGGCTGGACATCATGACACATGGTTGGACATCATGACACGTGTCAAATTCGTTAAGTATTTAAACGGAGAAAATAAAAAAGTAAACATTGAGATACATTTTAAAGATGTAAGACTAAATTGATTCAATTAATTAAAGTGAGACTAATTTAACACTAATAAATAATATAAGGGACAAAAAATATATTTTTTCCCTTTAAAATTCATACATGAACTCATCCTACCTTTTATGGGGACACGGACGAGAAGAGCAAAATCTGTTTCCGATTTGCCTCGTTGTATTCCTACCTCCTACCTTATCTGTCAAAGACTAATCCTTTTGAGGATAATTGTTGTTGCAAGAATGAAGGAATTTTGTATATGACAAAAATAAACACGTGATTTCTTGTTTAACAGATTTTTCTCACAAGATATGAGAATGTTCTTAATCATTAAACAAACTCATCGAATTTAATAAATTTTCTTGAGTTGTATATCAATTGATTAAATTCAATCATATAAAATCTGAACCAAGACATTGTAAGAGTTTATAAACTCATTTGAATAATTTTTAAATTTGTTTGATATGAGAGTTTATAATTTATTTTTGTAAGCTAATTTTAGGAGTTTATAATTTGTAAGGTCTTAATTTTTTTCTGTTAGCCTTTTTAGCTTTATTAATTTACTTGATTTTTTTTTAATTTAAAAATCATTTTACCTACATATTTATCTTCCTCTTATTAATAAATAAATTTCATTCATTAATTAGTTAATTTATTAATTAATTTTATTGAATATTTTTAAGTCAATTAATTAATTTATAAATTTTTAATTTTTTAAGCTCCTAACTTATATATATCTTATAAGCTTTCGATTTATTTATAAACTTTCCACCATCTTCTAGTTTTATCAAATACAGTTTGTGTTCGTTCATTCAATTCAATGATTAAGGACGCATTATGAAAGATTAAGAAATAGGGTAAAGCAGTTGAGTAAAAGATAGCTTCAGAACGAACATTGTTATAACCGTTACTTACAAATTTGACCACTTATTTATTAATTTTTTTTGAAAGCATTTGACCACTTATTTGATCACATTCTTATTTGTATGTTTTGAATAACTAAGGATCACCGACTTCATAATTTTTTGTATTAATAAGGATCACATTCTTTAGCAGTATCCGGCATTCTCAATCGAGTATTTAAATATTAGTTAATAAAAAAGTATAAAACTGTGCAGAGTAATATTGTGAATGATCTCATAAACAAAAATAAAAAGAGAAAAAGGAAAGTGAAGTGAAACAGGAGAGCGTAGAATAAAGTAAAAGAGAATGTCTTTCTCATGCACGGATCCCAACGCATGGCGGGAAGTAGTCCTAGCATTGCATTGCTTGCTGGAACACATTCTTTTTGTTTAGTTTAAAGGAACTTGCTTTGTTCCCTCTACAAATCTGTCCCTTCACAGTTCACACACCCATTTATACACAAAACTACTTGCTGTTGCTGGATTTATATACACAGATAGATAGAGTTTAGATTTGGCCTATTCAGTTCTTCAACTAACAAAAAAGTATATATTTAACAAAACAAATATGGGTTCTATAAGGGGAGGAAAGGCTAGGGTATAGTCTTGTAGATATGGCATGATTATTACTTGGTAGTTCATCTGTTTTCCAATGATTGAGTTGTCTTACCTTAAATTTGGCTGCAATAGTGAAGTTGAGTACTCTAGTGATCCTGAGTCTTCAAGATGAAGAATGGCGATACCATTAACATGATCAACCATCAAAATAGTTGGTTAGGTTTCTCCCTCTCCCCACAAATGAATATAGGTCTTCCTTCACACCCTCATCAGACACAACTTTCAGCTGCTGCTGTTGCTGAAATAGTTCCACCAAACTTTTACCACCAAACACCTCTTCATAACTATGGCCTTTACTATGGACTCGAAGGAGAACATGTTGGAATGTGCTCATCCTTGCCTATCACGCCCCTTAAATCCAATCCCTCGCTCTATGGAGTAGAAGCTCTAAGTAGATCACAAGCACAAGGTTAGCTCCAACTCAGACTTATTCTTTTTTTTTTGGTGAGTATTTTAATTATTCAACTTCTTGAATAATTTTTTTATTTTTATTTATATACTACGAAACAATGGCAACTACTTCAGCAATGCATCTCAGCTTAGATAGTATGCTTTGCAACCAACTGTCGTGGAATGGACTAAACAATCCAAGTAACCTAAATCACGTACAACAGAATATCAGCCAGCAACAACTCTCATACTACTCTACCTTAAGAAACCATGATGTGATTTTAGAAGGGTCCAAACACCAGCTCTCAAATATAGCTGAGGATGAAATTTCTGGTCTGAAGAGTTGGTACTCAAGGGACTTTCCGACGAGCCATGCACAGGAGTCAAGGATTGTTCCTGTGGAGCATAATGGAGGTGAATCTGGATCCATTGAATCAATGGCATATGGGGATTTACATTCATTGAACTTGTCTGTGAGTTCTACCTCACAATCAAGCTGTGTTACAAGTTCATATGCCCACACTGATACAAAGAAAAGGGGGCTTGAAATGATGGACCAAAATCAGAAGCAAATAGTTCATAGGAAATCCATAGATACCTTTGGTCAAAGAACTTCTCAATATAGGGGTGTAACAAGGTTTGTTCTCTTCTGGTCTTTTCTCAATCTTGCTAGTACTTGTGGCACATTATAAGTGTTATATTGAACAATAAGGCTATATGATGATGCTTAATAATTCCTACCTCTTCTGTTGTGCTCTTTGCTCAAGAAGCTAATTAAGATTCTTGTAGGGGTTCAAGCAAGACCAATGATAACATATTTAACTGTTTATTTCTTTTTATCTTTTGCTTTAATTTCTAAAGAACGTTTGTTCATCAGGCATAGGTGGACTGGTAGATATGAAGCTCATCTATGGGACAACAGCTGCAAGAAAGAGGGGCAAGGCAGGAAAGGAAGGCAAGGTAAGAAAGCGACTATTTTCTCATCACTTTACCCTTTTTTTTCTGTGAATATTTTTGATCAAACAAATCTATTGACCTTAATTTTATTCTCCCTTGAAAAGTTATGCATTTAATGCTGATCCTTTTTTTTTTTTTTTTAAATTTATGTCTTATCTTTGATTCGGTAATGATTCCACTCAAACATACGACGAACCTCAGTTTATCTAGGTAAGGTTCTCCAATTTCTTTTTAATGTTGATCAAATTCGTAAGGATAGCTAGATTAACTTCAAGTTAAAGATATCGTTTAATATTTTGCTCATGATGATAACAATAGAAGAAAAATCAATCCTTACACAAGTGATTCCAAAATTTTTATTATAGGGGGTTATGATGTGGAGGAAAAAGCTGCAAGAGCTTATGATATGGCCGCACTCAAGTATTGGGGACCCTCCTCTCATATAAATTTTCCAGTAATATGATTACTATCTTTCTCATTAATCTCTCTTCTGAGTTTTGTTTAGCTTCAAGGATTTGTTTAAGTAACAATACTATTGTATGTATGATCTTTTAATAGTTGGAAAATTATCAAAAAGAACTTGAGGAAATGAAGAACATGACTAGACAAGAATATGTTGCTCATTTACGAAGGTAATATTTTTGCTTCAGTATCATCTTGAAGTGAACAACTAATCCATGTTCACAAACATGACATTCAAATTCAACTATATCCAATCAGGAAAAGCAGTGGATTCTCAAGAGGGGCTTCCATATACAGAGGAGTAACAAGGTCTCACAGGCTAGCATTTACACATTATATGCATTGAAATTTAATTTGACAGGATTTACATCTGGTAAAAGAATTTCCTTTGTTCTAAACTTCGTTCGTTCTGATTAATATGGTAGCAGGCACCATCAACATGGAAGGTGGCAAGCTCGAATTGGCAGAGTGGCTGGAAACAAAGATCTATATCTTGGAACTTTCAGTGAGTTTTTTCACATTCTTGATTATTCTTTTTCCCTGTTATGTTAATAATATTTTCTTTACTAGCCACCACTGTATCTTCACGAAACATGTTTCAAATAGGAAATGACAGAGGGAGCTTTATGACTTAAAAGCTAGTCTTTGAACTTTTCTTTTCAGTCACAAATATAAGGCTGATCACATCACTTTAATATTGAAGAGCACTGTTAGTCCCGAAGGCAGCTTTTATCAAAGCTGTTAGTTCAGACTTCAGAAGGATAAATATTAATCATACCTTCAATTAATATACTTAATTATAAAATTCTGATATCATTCTCTTGCTTTAAGCTAAAAAAATATTAATATATAATTCCAATACACTGTGGGTACTACGGAAAGCTAACTCTTATCTTTATTGAAATAAAACTTTAGGTACCCAAGAGGAAGCAGCTGAAGCCTACGACATTGCTGCTATAAAATTCCGTGGAGTTAATGCTGTTACTAACTTTGATATAACAAGATATGACGTAGAAAAAATTATGGCAAGCAATAACCTTCTTAGCAGTGAACAAGCCAAGAGGAACAAAGAGATGGAGGATGAAACTAGAAACGAGGCTATTGTTAATCAAAAACCTTCTACATATGAGCAAACCGAAGAAAGCGTTCTAATGCAGAAAAGTTGTGAAAGCCAATCAGAGTGGAAGATGGTTCTCTATAGATCCTCCCAACAACAGTATGATCACAATATTCTACCAAGAATTGAGAGTTGTAGAACGCAACCCTTTTCAATGGCTTTTGGTGACATATTTCATCAAGAAGTAGAGGAATTGAGTAACATGGGAACACACTTGTCAAATCCTTCTTCTATGGTGACAAGCTTGAGTAGCTCAAGAGAAGAGAGCCCAGATAAGACAAGCATGCCAATGCTCTTTGGAATGCCTTCAACAGTGTCTAAATTGTTGACTAACACTCCAACAAGTAACGTGGATTCTTGGGATCTATCTTCCAATCACAGGCCTGCGCTTTCTTTGCCTCAGATGCCAATTTTTGCTGCTTGGACTGATGCATAATCATATCCTATGTTAGTTTCCTCTATCAAAATGGCAGAAGCTTGTTTTGCATGCATGTTAACTGTTACATTAAACATTTTGCTCGTACGATGAGAACAAACTCCTAAGATTTATATCCTAGTCAATTCGCGTATCATCAATTTATCTGTGTTAGAATCTTGTTATCTAAAAGTAATTTGAACCTTAACTAATTCTAATCATGTTAAGTTATTTGTATAAATTTTTCGTATACAAAAAAATTGAAAATCTCATTTAAAAGAATCAAATTCTTTATCGGTTAGAGCTTGATAAGTCTATAAAATGGCTTCTAAATATACCAAAGGTTTCTAAGACAAGAAAAGAAGTTGATAAAACCATGGATATAGAAACGGACAAGAAGACTATAATAAGGGTTATGATTGAGAGGATAAAATTATCTTGGCAATAATGGGGAAGACGCTATTCATCATTCGTTTCAATTTCATCATTAGTTTCCACTTTGTTGGTCGTCGCAAGTACAAAAACAGCTCATTATGTGTCACAATCATGCAAGGATGGGCCTAAGATCTCTCTTTATCATGTGGAATTTTATCACAAGTGCATCCTGGAGCACTTCAACAATATTTATTAAATATCTTCAAATTTTTAACATTTTTTATTGATGGAGATTAGAGTTGATATTTAACATTTCTTTCATTAAACCATTTAAATTTTTTTGTGAATGTTATATAGTCTTAATTTTTTCATATTTCACTATTTTTACTCGCTTTACATTTTTTATCTCTCTTTCTCTCTTATTAATTAATTATATCACATTATTTACCATACTTATCATTTAATGTCTCTTCTCTTCTTTTTTCTATCTTTTTCCAAATATGTATACATGTGTAATGTGTTAAAGCACGATCTTCCAATAAACTTAAAATAATTTAATGAGTAATATATATTGATATTATTGAATGTTTCTAAAGGACGGGTCCTTGTATTATTTTATTGTTTGAGGTCAGTAATCCATATCAGCATGTCATTACTATTGGTTCTTCGCGTCCATTGTCATCATTACTTAATCACTTATTCTTATTGAACTTTGTCTAAAGGCAGCAGATATTCCTTACCCAATTCTATCAAAGGGGCTTAGCTTAGGTGCAAAAATAGATTCCCTCAGAATGACCTTACGTGATCGATCTGATTAATGACTTAATGACCTGTATCTAGTTACAATTTGTCTACTACTTTAAAGAAAGTCCTTTTGTTGGAAATCCCTTTTCAGATTTTTCCTTTATTATATATAGGCACTCTGTAATCCCAATGATGGTGCTCGTAAAAGCAATCAGGTTTATATTCTAATGGGGCTTAGGTATCGTAAGTGATTAAACTCACTCACCATGGGTTCGTTCGTTCACACGGTCTATATTACATGTATTCTCATTTTCTCTTCTGTTTATTATCTGAATTAAATCACGACACTATGGCAAGAAGGAAGAAACTAACACGTAAGCACACGTCGGAAAGAAGAGGAATATTTATAAATTGAACCCCAAGACCACTATTTAATTTGATCGCTCAATATTATCTGAGATTCGAATATTCATGAATTGAAAGTATGCGTACAATACTTTGAAGTAAATGTTTCTTCATTCTCTCGGGGTACTGGCTCACACTTTATCCTTTGAAGTAATCCGATTAAAGTGTTATTTTTTTCTGAAGTATCATAATTCTGCATGCTAATCACGATCCAAACACGTCACCACACACTTAATGCAAAAGCTTGGTGATGCTTGTTTATTCAATTAAAACAAGGATATTCATGTGAAAAAGAAAATTCTTAAGTATATGTCCATTAATTTGGTCATACTAGTTGTACATGTCGTGAAGTCTACATGCAGCAGTAGCACCTTTGTGTTGAAAAAACAGCATTTTGTATGGGCATAAACTAACAATGTTTGCCTTTAATTAAGTGAGCATGCCTTAAAAAAGAAAAGGTGACATGGTAATCCAAACATGGAGCTGTACAAGGCAAAAGCAACAAGGATAGCATGCCGACAACAAGATTAAAGTGGACAGAATCATATATATTAAAAATATAGAACAGCGCGCATTGTTAAGTCAGAAAAAAATATTTTACAATTTTATTTTAAGCCTAACTTAATCTCAAAACTAATAAATAAGGTGAGAATTGTCCTGTATACTTTATTTAAACCCTATTTCTAATGAATGTGAACATATTTAGAAATAAGATAAACTCAAATATTATTTTAAAATTTGAGTTTTGTACTAATCCAATTCAAAAACTAACTCGGATGAGAATCCGCCACCTATATATTAAATAACATGAGAAATTGCGCTTTAGAGACGCTAGTCAGACACTATCTAGTAATTAGGCTTTTTTCACGATGATTAATGAGCCATGCAGAAGAATGGAGCAGTTGAAAGGTGTATGGCTTCATGGGCCAGAGAGTTTGGATTGATAGTTATCGGATTTTATGTGAAACTTGAAGCCTGTACTCTTCATCTTTTTTTTTTTTTTTAATTGCCTGTATTAATTCTTCTGTTCTGAATCTTCTGATAAATCATTTAGATTTGATATTGATCATCGGAAATCAAAGGGTCATTTTTAAGTCACTAAAAATATTATCATATACTAATACTTTAATTTTTATTATGCAAAAATTACATTAATGAAAATAGTTTACAATGCTTAAATTTTTTTATCGTGATTTCGTTATATATATATATATATATATATATATTATATATAATCGGTGTGGATTATCATGGATTTTCAACATTTTGACGGTGTATACGTAGCTATGGACTTAATTAGACTAGACTTAATTTTCATCATATTTTTAGAATTCACGGCCTAGAGGGGGGAAAAATTAAGAAAAAAACGTATAGAACTCAAAAATGAAAGTATATTCAAAATATGGGATTGAGGTTTTTCCTATAGATGATTTTAAGCTATGGTCGCAGGAACCTAAAACAATGCGATATTAAGACTGTAATAGATGAAAATCATAATTTAATTAAAATATTAATACTGTATATATACTGCTCTAACCCTTACTATTAGACATGAAAGTTAATTTAAACCAAAATTATTGTTATATCAGTATGATAAAATGTGTATGCATGGTCCAGAAAAGAAAAATTGATGGACCGTAATACTTTACTACACTCCTAATACTTTTAGTTTTATATGCATGTATGTTTAAAATTTATTATTCACATGACCAAGACTCATAATAACACAATTAATAACATGCCTAAATACTTCTAAAGGAAACTTTTAAAGTATTTCCATATACAGTTTTTATTATTGAATTTTCAAATAATTATTTGTCTCCTTTTAAAAACAATAAAAATAACCATTAGTGTAGATGTATCAAAATATGAAGATAATTTTCTAAGTCTTCTTGATAAGTAATCAGTCATCAAATATTCTGAAGGGTAAGTTACTTAAAAAAGACATTCACGTTCAGTTTAAAAGAATTAATGTTAATAATAAATAAGATAAAAAAAGTTTTACCCACATCTATTATTCTATTTATATAAACTATAATAGACATTATAAACATTTATCTCCGATTACCAATTAGATAATAAATTTTTAATGATGATTTAGTATGATGATGTTCTTAATAACCTTGATTATCCATTTTCTCACTTTTTCTGCGTAATTGTGTTGACGAGAGAGACTTCATTCCACTATCTTAAGTACTAGTCGTTGAGGTGCAAGGTGTAACTATCGAAAGAATCAAACCATGAGAGGGTGATTTGGCTATCAAAGGGGTCAAACCATGAGCGAAGCTTGATTATTGAAGAGACCGAACCATGAGTAAGAGTTTGCTTGTCAAAGTGGCCAAACCATAAGTAGGATTACCGTATGGATCGAATCATGGTGAGAGCTTGTTCATCAATGAGTCTCATTAGGTGTCTTTTAATCCTAAAGATCTTTTTTCAATTGATCGTGAAATTTTTTATATTCGATTAGTTGGATACCTATACGATATAATTTATATAATTGCTTAAACCAACTAGTACAAAATTATTTTAATTAAATCAATAATCTTAAATTTAAAGTATATAAATATTGGAAAAAAAATTATCACTAATAAAGTCTTACTATGTCCGAGTAAACTTATCTTTCATGCAAGATATTTGTGGTATGTAAAAAAAAATAGTACAATTTAATAGTTGTCTTAACCATTTCAGTTAATTAATTTCAAGTAATGTATAATTCTTTTATGTCGTATTGTTCTGGCTAAAGGGTGGACTAGAGTTTCTTCCTAGGTTAAGCGTTAGAGCCAGAGCATTCAAAAGTGTAATCTGCCTCCTCAACTCTAGGGTTTTGGGTCTTATAGTTTCTTGTTTATGGGCCTTATGGGCCCCGAGAATGTGAGGATTTCCTTGACCGTTCTTATCGGGAAGATACTTGGTGAATGAGGGTTGGACCTTGCCCTTGCTATCAGATAGCTTCTATACGGGGAGGTTGGGTCGGGCCCTGACCGACCAGATCCATACTAAGGGTCCAGTCGAGTATTGACCGAGTAGGCTCTCATAGGCAAGTGAGATCGGGATGCGACTGACTTGGCTTACGCAGAGATGCCAAGTCAGATATTGGCCGAGTGACTCTTAGAGAGGGGGTCGGTCAAGGTTGTAGTCGGTCTATCACCGATAGAGAGGTCAGGTCGAATTCCGACCTAGACGGTCCACGTATGAAATTAAATGTTGCTATATATGATTTGTTGTTAAGAGTGAGATGTGCCATAACTGAAATTGGAGTAAGCCTCGAGCCTTCACTGAAATGCCAATTCTGGTCGATAGTATATATAGATGTATGTAGATAGATAGAAAGAGATGATCTACTTACTTCAAGAATAAATTTATCCAAATTTGTTTTTTTCAATAACTCAAGTTTTACATTAAATTTTAACAATTCAACTATCGAATTAAAAAAATTTTATACATAAATTAAATTTGTAATTTTTCAAAATTATTTAATACTTTATTTCATTAATTCAAATCAATGCATAATATGTTTTTATAATTATTTATTAATTTAAAATTAATGAAATATTTTTAAAAAATTTGTAGACATAATTTATGTATTACTAATTAACTTTTAGAATGAAATTATTAAAATTTGATGTATAATATAAGTTATTGAATTAAATAAGTATAAATGTCTTACATATTTACAATTATCATGCCAAACAGATATTTAATAATAGAAAAAAACATAA